TAGTACCTAATAATTTCGTCGTGCGTTGTGACTTGTTTTTAGCGCATATACTCTAAATCAATGAAGGTCAGTTGGCAGCCCTGGCCCTAGGCCACCAAGGAAGAAGAAGAAGAAGAAGAAGAAGATATTTATGTATAACCTAAAATTTTGTAACTTGGTATATAAACAGGAAATAATAATAATAAGCATTCTATTGATATAAGAAGATTAGCCAATGAAAAATATAATATCTGAACAAGATGGTTTATCTCATTGCATAACATAAAATGGATGTTACAACAAAGAGCACTAAGCTGCTTACAAACAATGAGTTTTATTTGGGTTTATGTTTAGCAGTATGTTCTTCATTTTTTATTGGCACCAGCTTTATTATTAAAAAGATTTCATTGCAAAATCTTGGGAGAAATGGTAATGTCAGGGCTGGTGCTGGTGGGTTTGGTTATTTAAAAGATTGGCTGTGGTGGTCAGGACTTTTAGCAAGTAAGTTAATAATAAATAACTAAATTTCTTATTTTTCAAACAGACAAACTACAGTGAAACTTCCCAAACTCTGAAGGGACCAGCAACTATAGTTTGATAAATTTATGTGACCAATTAAGAATTTTTTCAAAGGGGTACAACATTTTTTGACCCAGTCACAGAAAACGTCTGAGCTCTGCCAAAATAGCGCCGCAGGCACGGTTGGCTGCCCAGCGGCTAACCCAAAAAAACCAGTGTTTTTTTTGGTAGAACCCGCTTAAAAAGTGTTTTTTTTTCTTAAACTTTAACTCTTCGACATTTTTGTATATTTTTTATTTTGTAAAATGATAAAACACGATATTTTTATGTATGTAAAAAACTAGTCTTTCATCAAAAGCAAGAAATGATCAAACAATTGACCAAACAAAATGTAATCTTGAAGTTTGGGGGTTCCCCTGCCGACTTATGAATTTTATAGTTGACAAATAACTGCAAAAATAAGTTGTGAAGGAGAAGGTAGTGAATATATTTGAACAGTAGGTATTTCTTTTTAAATGTTTTATACTAAAATTTAGAATAAAAAAACCCAATAAAACCCACTTATAAAACCCAAAAAAACTCAATGGATTGGGTCGCTGCGTTATGCCATGCGGCATAAAATAAAGCATATCCTTCCTAAAATGCGGAAGCAATAACTCAGTCAAATTTAAAAAAATTTAAATGTTATTGGTACATATCGAATCCATACTTTATTGTTAATTTTATTCGCCTCAAAAATAATACGGGACATATATGGCCCGTAACGCACTGAATGATAAATTTCTCACTGTGCGGTACGGGGTTCATCGTCCAGCAGTGACTTTCGGCGATCTGCGCATAACCTAACCTGGCAATAAAATTAAACCAAAAATGTGAACAAAAGTGAAGTTTTTTTTTTAATTCCAATTATACGTCATAAAACTAATATTTTTTACAAAAAAATGATTTTTTGAAATAAAAATAATTAAATTTTGTAAATTGACTATAATAAATAGAATTCGAACAAAAATTCTTTCAGGACAAGAAAAACACTTTATAATAAAATTTGAAAAAAAAAGTTTTATTATAAAGTGTTTTTCTTGTCCTGAAAGAAGGCTCGAGCCTCTAGATTACTTTGCCCACTTAATTCCTCACTACTTTAAGCATGTACAAAGTTACGAGTAAAAATGCAACACCTTGTATACGGGACACATATACCTCGTAACGCACTCTGTGCAAAACTAATACGGGGCAGTTCTGACCCGTAACGCACCCAGAAATATACTTTAAAAATAACTCCCGCATCGAACGTGTTAAAAACCAGTTTTTTTCCAACCCTGGCCGCAGTGAAAACATTTTTGACCCATTTTTTTTTTAATGAAATAAATTGTAAAAAACTGAAACATGAAGTTTGTACGTGTCACGCTTTGCAATTAATCTTTACTAGGCTCACTGGATAATGGGGTTTGCTCCTGCGTCGCTCAACCCACAAACTTCCAGCTCGCCCGTAAAGATTCATTTACAAAGCTGGACACGTAAATAACTATTATGTGTATAAAGGTCTTAAATTAGAATACAAAAAATACATATTAGTACACTCACGGGTAAAAAACACCGACCACCAGAAATTGGCCAGAATTTTAATATTGATTTCTTCGCGAATAATCTGATTTTTTATTTAAATTGTAGTTTATTTCTTCAGTTGATGCTATGATGATTTTTTTTATCTAAATTTTAATTAGAGCATATACAGGGTGCAAAAGTAAGAAAACGTTTTTTGCTAATTTTGAGACATCCTGTGGGATGCATCAGCAATAACAGCTGATATCAATTGAAATTATACTGTAGCCTATAGGAAAAGATATATCTTTTCTTAATATTCTGTTTTTTATTTACGTTATTATATCTGTTATTAACTAAGATATACATATACTAGGGTGTTTCAAAAAAATCGACTTTTTCTTTTTCTTCAAATGGTCGGCAAATTCTTTCAGAGGATGTCAACACAAAGACCTCGTCAAAATTTGAGCTTTTAATTTGAAGATTTAGAGGTCGCGGATCGCAATTTTCTATTTCCCATTTAAATAACATAGGAAATTTTTTTTTTAACTTTGAAATTTTATACGTCTGAATCGAATCAACTTATGTCAAGGATCATCTTAGATTTTCATAGTAAATTTAACGCTCTACAAAAAAGGTCTCCTATCATTTTTCTATAAATTGATTCCTTCCAGAGTTATTCGAGGCCAAAGTTTGATTTCCATCAAATTTTCGCGTTTTTTTAACATTTATGGTACAATTATCATTATACGGGTGTCCCGAAATCAGGGGGCCAAACTTAAACAGTGCATTATTCGTATAAAAATAACACTTTTTTTGTTTAATAAACATATATCAAAAAATGCTCCCTAAAGGAGCTACGGCCCCCTAAATAGGAGCCTAAGAGGATAATTTTTTTAAAACTATTCCTAGAGGGTTGAACATAAACAAATGAATTTTCGGTATTTTGGTAATTTTGAATCTAAATCTATGATCAAAACTGTTAAAATTTAATCATAGGCGTAACATTTGGAGGGGGCAAAGTTACAAAAATAGCCCCAACTTTTTTCTGGGTTAATAATTTAATTTTTTTTATGAAATTATGAGAATTTATAGTTTTTTACGAAAAATAGGTACTCTTAATTTGAATTGCTCAGATGCACCATTTTCGAGAAAAATGCATTTATAAATAAATTACTCTGCATATTATACACATCTCATATTTTCATTAAAACTTTGTAGTAGGCTTTGGAAAAAAGTGACGTTTTTTTGTTTTTTTTGTTTTTTTTACAACACTTCCTATGTTTCAGATATAAATATATGATTTTTTTACTACATGATGCTAAAAGTTGTAAAAACGAGAAAATTCGATGGAAATCAAACTTTGGCCTCGAATAACTCTGGAAGAAATCAATTTATAGAAAAATTATAAGAGACATTTTTTATAGAGCGTTAAATTTACTATAAAAATCTAAGATGTTCCTTGGCATAAGTTGATTCGATATAGACGTATAAAATTCCAAAGTTAAAAAAAAAAATTCCTATGTTATTTAAATGGGAAATAGATAATTGCGATCCGCGACCTCTAAATCTTCAAATTAAAAGCTCAAATTTTAACGAGGTCTTTGTTTTGACATCCTCTGAAAGAATTTGCTGACCATTTGAAGAAAAAGAAAAAGTCGATTTTTTTGAAACACCCTAATATATACTGTTTTAAAGTCAACGCCTCAAATAAAAAGTTTGTATTAGACACATAATGTTGACTCTGTTCATCTTCAATTAATTGACCATAATATGCAAGGAATGCGGTCGATGTTGCCAATGGTAAAAAAATAAAATTCTCTATTGGGAACATTCAATTATATTACGTTGGCCACACTGAAATTTTGAATTTCCCGCACAAACTGACATACATTCTAGTAGTTCCCAGAGATAAAGAAGGTAGTTCCAATGTTTTATAATAAATTAAGGTGCGAATTTCAAATGTGGGAATTATTATTATTTATTATTATTAAAAAAAAAGATGGAAATTAATTTAGTTTGTGCGGGAAATTCAAAATTTCAGTGTAGCCAACGTATTATAATTGAATGTACCCAATTGGGAATTTTATTTTTTTACCATTGGCAAAATCGACCGCATTCCTTGCATATGGTCAATTAATTATAATGCCACAATACGAGAAATATCCATCACAGGTAACGGTATTTTCTCAATTGACAACCTTTTACAACTTTTAGTGTCAAATTTTAAAATAACTGACATTCGTTTTAGCGTATATTGATTTTACATTTTTTGCATGCAAAGACTTGATACGGTGCGTTTTCTTTAAAATAGTGTATCTTTGTTAATAACAAAGATAATAACAAAAATAAAAAACAAAATGTTCAGAAAAGATAATTATATTTTATAATTAGCCTTAAGGCTATAGTATTTTATTTGGCATTCGCTGTTGTTGCTAATACATCCAATACATACAAATTTCGGGGAAAAAACTCTTAATTTTGCATCCTGTATAATCCACATTAATGGGACAATCAAACAAATTTTTTTTTTAAATGTAATGTTAAAATTAATTCGGCTTATCAGTATCACTGATGATGCCCGAAGACAATCTGATGTGTAGCAGAAATCAAGTAGTACTAATTTAGGATTTTTCAGGTATTTTAGTTTACGTGTAGGTACGGAGTTGATGGTTTGGTTACGGTGTTGATTTTTTTAGCAATTTTTAATTAAATTTTATTTTAAACTTGAGTAAAATAAACCGTAAAAATGATATGATATATGTCTTTATATTATGTTACAATTTACACTGTAAATTCAGCATGAGGCAATATTTGTCGTCAACACCATACCTAGTAAGTAATGGATAAAATCAAGGATCCTAAAAATAATTAAGAAAGAAACGTAGGTACTGATTAATAATATATTTAAACAAAAGAACTAAAAAACATCTTTCTTCACATAGGTAAATAACATTTTGATTTTAACAAATATCCTGATGATATTTCTTTGGAATAGACGGGAAATAATGATGACCTCTTTTATCGATTTCTGGTTGTTCTAAAGTCGATTCGATATCATTTTTGTCAATAACAGCTATATCATCCTCTTTGGGATAAATATAACAGTTTTTCATTCCCTTCCTGAGAAATTTTATTTCAACGGTGTTCTCATTCATTGTTTCTAAAATACATCCCACATAGTACTTGATTTTTTTTTTGGTCGGAAACCTGACTAATGCAAAACTATTCACATGCAAATGTACTTCATTTGGCAAAGAAGACTTATCTTTTTGATATGACAAAACGGAATTATTTTCATCCTTTTCATCGGAATCAGAGGAGTACACATCGTGATATCTCACTCGAGCTAAAAGTAATAGTTAAGGAAAAAGTTAAGTAAACCCATTTTTGCATTATAATTATGAAAAACATACTACACAATATCAAAAAAGGATACAAGGGACTTCATCAGTTTTTAGCTTCAAAGATCCAATATTGTACTTATCACAAGCAATGGTTCCGCAGCAGTCAAAGCATGACAGTCTTCTAAATTGTAAAATATTTGATTGATCGCTATTCCATATCACCTGGTGGGTCTGCATAGTTCCTTTAAATCGTAAGACATTATTGGGTAGTAAATCATCGTCTGCTTCAATCGATTCTTTTGACACAGAATTTACAGTAACTTTTTTAATGTTTCTTTTTATTACACCAACTAAATCGTCAACACTAGTTATGTCTTGTCCGTGAGCAACTAAACGATCAGCAATCCGTTTAATGCATCCCCCAATACCATCCGGAGCACCTTTTCCGTGTCCTCGTTCGCTATAGTTCCAGCTCATGAACTTTAAAGATGGAAGCTTCCTTGGAAAATATGTTCCGAACAAGTTGAACATCTTAAAATTTCGATATTGGGTTGAGGGCCCATCACTTATAAAATGAATTGTTGTAGGACAACAATAGGAAAGAACATCCTGTAAAACAGGATTCAAATGAGCAACAATTGCTATTGGATCTTTTCTCGGGGAATTTGAAAAAGTACAAAAAGGCTTTCTAACTTTATTGTCTGTTTTAATATAGGCCATTACTGTGTGCAAAACTATTTGATTTTTCGACCCTCCAAAGTGTAAAGATTGCACTTCCTTCTCGTATTTACACACATAATTTTCGGAATAATCCATATGTAGTATAATTTCATTATTTTTTAAAGAGTGTTTAATGAGGTCTAATTGTTTGTACTGATGATTTCTATTGGCAATATGTTGCATTAGTTGAGAAACTGCTTCTTTTAACTCATTAGCAAGTTGTTGTTTTGATGTCTGTATTTTATTTTTAAAGGTTTTCTTACATAATTTTTTTTTTCCAGAAACAGTTATTATCTCAGATTTTGTGCACCATTTGTGGTAACTTATAAGGTCTTGCCCGTTAAAGTTGTTAAAATTTACATATTTGTTCTTACACTGTGTACATTTTCGTTCCAAGCAGTTTTCATCCAGGGTATCATTACAACAAAGTGATTGACAAAGTGAGTATACCGAATTTTCATTAATCATGTTGATTAAGTTTAACTTTTTCACTAAAAGTTCCGAATTTTCACAGATTACACATAAACAGGTGTCTCTCTTATTAACGTCTGGTTGTTTAATCCAGAATGGTCTGAGCTGACAAAACAGTGAATAACTTATTGGTTTGTTGATTGTTTTAATAAATTCCTTGTGTAGTAGTTTCAAAGGTTTATTTAAAAGTCTTTTTTGTTTTTTTATTCCCCTTCTCGTGACGGTATCTTTCTTCCCTGGGCAAAGACGGCTCGATTCATCCTTTTCCAAAAACATCTTAACTTTTTGGTAACGTTCATTTCTTTTAATTGTGGCATTGGCTTTCTTTTGTGGAGATCTTTGCAATTTATAGGTTAGAAAACCGAATTTTCCTTTAAGCTTATATTTTTTAATAATATCTCCAGTAAGAACGTGAGACACACGTTTTCGATCTACTCTTTGCTTAATACCATTATAGTTATTCGAAAGTTGAGCCATCACTGCTTCATGAAATAAAAGTTTTCTTTTAACAACCGTTGATACCGGATATTTTCTAGTGAAAGAGTTTACTTTTGAAACTGGAGAATTTTTGGAAGAAAATCTTTTTCGAAGGCGTTGATTTCTTTTTCTGATTCTCTCAATTACTTGGTTTCTTTTATGAAGTTTATTTTCTAACATTTTTATAGTTCTATATGCTTTAGCTCGATCTTTTCGTACCCGTTTTCGTCCCACACTTGCCCTACTAGAACCCTGCCTTTCTCCTGCTACAAAATTAATTGGACTAGGCGGAGGAGTTGTTTCGTTTATAAATCGAATTTCTTGTTGCCTCTGTTGTTTCTTCTTGTCCCTATAATTTTTTGAACTTTCTTTCCAAATCTTGCGTTTTTTCTTTTTATCCCGTCTATTTAAGTCTACAATCTTTTTTATCTTTCCTTCTGTAACCCATCTTTCCTTTTCTTTGGCTCTTTCTCTTTCGTAAAGCTCCGGATTTGCTTTGATTTTTGCTCGTCTACGTCGTTGAGCCTCGGCTTTCCTACGTTTTTTTTCATCATCTGATGTCCCTTTCATATTTATTGCCTTTAATAAAAATAACAATATTAATAAAAAGAACAATATTAAATATCGTCAACACCATAGAACCTCCGGATTACGGTGTTGATGGTTACGGTGATGACGAATTTAGCTAAAATAGCTGTTTTAGGATAATTCAAGGTAACCTTGAACAACAAAACATTCTAAAAACATTTAGTACTTTCAAAAAAAGGAACAAATTATGTCTGTAACAAAAAGAAATGAAAAAAAAAAACATAAAAAAATTGAACACGGTGTTGATATATAAATATGTACGCCTACCTTGTTTTGCACTAACACACCGTCTAAATTTAAAAAAAACGAAACACACGTTACTTCTCGCAACCAAGCTCTCGACTGACAATTGTTATGCGCCAAATTAAAGCGTCTTCTCAGTTTACTCCCACCATTTAAAAATTTCCGTTAAAATAATTTCAGGTACGGTGTTGACGAATGACATGTAGGACGCCGTTTAAAAATGAAAAAATAGGACTTTTATAACTTTTTCTTTAAAACTTTGTTACCTACCATATTTCATCGCTTAATATCTTTACACTAAGAAAAAATAGCATTTCTTTACCAGTATTTAACGACAAAATTCCTTAAAGTTTTCTAAAACCAAGGTATAGGACAGACTACGGTGTTGATGTTTTGATAAAGAAAGTCAGAAAAATCACTGTTGAATTAAATTTTTTTAAGTCTTTCTAGTTGAAACTATGTTGTTCTCATTGTAAACAATAATCTAGGTATATTACTATCTAGAAATATGTTTTATTTTTAATTATGGGTATAGTGAGACACAAATAGTCCCCATTTTCTGTATTGACATATATACATATGCTTAGATTTCAATCTGAATAAAAATGTATACCTACCTACTATAACATCGTCACTAAAGAGTCAACGAACAGTTCCAAAAAAAATCAAATCAGATAAGTGGTTCGCTGGGAAATCATACGAACACTTTATCTGAGCCAATTGGCTTTAAAACAGTGTTCGTTAAGTTAGGATTATAGTATGATTTTAATTAACATCCGCTGTTATTGCTGATGCACCCCACGTGGGGTACAGGATGTCACAAATTTCGGAAAAAAACTTAGTTTTGAAACCCTGTTTATGCTCAAATAAAAATAAAAATGTCTTTCATAGCATCGTTACGGAAGAGTCAACCTACATTTCAAAACAATCATCAAAATCAGATTAGCGGTTCGCCAGGAAATCAACATTAAAATTGTTGCCAATTTCAGGTGGCCGGGTTTTTTTCCTGGTGAGTGTATATATGTATATATATTGTATTATTTGTAGGCTGACTGACAGAAAATTAATCTTAATTATTTCTATCAAAGTCACATGCTGGTGGGACCTTTTGAAAATTTGGCATTTAATGCATTTTAGGTTATGTATCTGTCAAAGTAGATAGGTAGATAGACACTTTATGTAATTTTTTTTATGAAATAATTATTTCATAAAAAAGTGTCGCAATTACTAATAAAGAGGTAAATATAAAATTGACATACAAACAATAGAATAAAGTATAAACAATAAAATATAAGTAAAATTTATGCTCTAAAAATTCTTAAATTTAGTTAAAAGAATTGCTCAGTAGATGTAATTTTAGTAGAGTAAGTTTTCTTTTTCTTGTAAGATATTTCAAGACTTAGGGAGATGGTTGAAGAGTCAACACCCTGTGTTCTTTTTTTTTTAATGTATTGCAGGCTGGTCAGATTTGGCGATTTATCGCCATTTTGGCGATTTCATGACCCTATTTGGTGTCAAAAAATGTTATTTGGCAAATGACGATTCTTTGGGCGATTTTCAAAAGTTATTTTGACGATAAGTTTTATATTAGCGTTGATCAACGGTTTTAGCAACCAACATTTATTTGCTCTACTGTCACAGAACTTACCATAGAAAAATGCTACTGTTAAATACACACAAGCTAACGTGTTTGCTACCGTCTAGCATCACCATCAATAAATCCTATAATTAAAAAAAGTTTAGATTACAGACTACTGTTTAGCATTTTTTTAGCGCCACCTACCATTAAATTAATTAACCAAAAAAGTGTACAGCATACAAATCAGTTGAATATTTAAAGCGCGAAAAAAACCTAATCTAACATTTTACTAACTTTTAATGTATTTTGTTATGTTTTTATTATTTTAAAATAAATGTTTTTAACCAATGTAAAAAATCACTTTTTATGAGTATATCGTTTAAATTACAGGCCAGACATTAATTCTCTGTTCATAAATCGATTTTTGTTTTGTTTTTATATAAGTACCTGTGAGTCGCAAAAATTTATATATTCAAATTTCCCGCTCAAAAATTATTTGGCGATTTTGGCTACTTCGACAGATCCATCTGGCGACACAAGGATAAAATATTCTGACACCCTGATGTATTGGTAGAGTGCTATTAATATCTCATGGCGGATGACCTTGGGTGCGCAATAGTTTCAAAACCGTCAAATCGCGCTATTACTCGCCGACCTAAAAACATACTACCTACATAGGGTAAACAATGTTGATATTTATTGACATATTTAGAAGAATTTCTGGGCTAGAAATTATATTATATTTGTTATAATATTATAGCGTCTCTCAAGGTCAACCGCCATGAGATATTAATATCACTCTACATGTAGTTTATTTATGTTTCTCGTATTTAGGTTATATTGGTTATTTTGTGTAAATCTTTGAATATTATTCATAACATATTTTATAGAATCAAAAATATACCGTGAAGTATTTGTTCTTTTTTAACATATTCTTTATTGCTTTCTGTTTGTCTTATGCTACACATAGCTTCTTTTTGTAATATAAACAACTTAGCAGAAGCAGAAGTTGTACCCCATAGGAGAATACCATATGAAAGTAGACTGTGGCAATTGGCATATTAAGCTGTTTCGGCAATTGTGTTCCGATTTTGTTCATCATTTGGATAGTAAATATATCCTTAAATTCCTTTATTCCACCATAATAATATGATCCGACCAGTTAAGTTTACTATCTAAGATTATGCTTAAAAATTAAGATTTTTCTTATTAATATTAATATTATCTCCTGTGCTTAGTATTTGGGGTTTTCTTAAAATTTCTTACTCCTTTATTTTATGCTCGGAGATATTACTCATATGAATCATGTAGGTGGTGTCGTCCGCATAGAGGTAGGTATTGACATTTTTATCTTTAAATAATCTTTATAAATAAGATTGGGCCCAATATCGATCCTTGTGGAATTCCATGTTTTATTAATAGTTTGCCTGAGCTTACCATTTGATGTCTATTTTCCAAGTGTAACCATAATTTATTGAGTAATAGTTCATGATTAAGGGCCGGTTTATTAATCTCTGGTTAAGTTCTAGTTAGTCTATCTGACGTTGTGAGAACAATGGTATTTATGGAAATTATCTGCCCGACAACTAACTGCAACTTTAACCGGACTTTAATAAACCGGCTTTGACTGAATCAAATTTTTTAGAAAAATTTCAAGAACTTAATTCAATTTTTTTGTTTTTTATCATCAGCTTGGTATAGTTCATACGTCGTATCTATTAAAGCTGTTATAGTACTTTATTTCTGAAACCACATTGCTTATTACCTAGTATACAGTATTTTTTCATAAAATCCACCATTATCGTTTTAATTATATTTTTTAAATATTTTTGAATAGGCTGGTAAAATTGGAATAGGTCTAAAGTTATTTGTATCGTTTTCGTTTCCTTTTTTAACAACTGAGCTAAGGTAATTAGCTTCTTTTAGAAGAGATGGAAAATGTCCTTCAATAAGATTTTTATTTATTATTTTAGTGACCGGATACACCATATCTTCTGAATTATTTTTTAGGAAGGAAGTCATTTCATAGAAATATTTTGCATGTGTAGTTCTTAAGTTTATTATTATGTTAAATACTTCTTGGTAAGTATCTGTTTCAAAGAAACACCCATTTGAGATCTTTGTTTGGTTTGAATAATTGTATTTGTGCTTGGCTTGTATCTTTAGGCATATTTTGTATAACATTTTCCCCTACTTTGGAGAAAAAAATCATTAAAGGTGTTATTGTAGATTCTTGCTTTACCATTTGGGTTTGCTTTGTTTCCTTATTTATTATGTTCCATATCATTTTGGATATATTATCACAGTTAATAGTAAGATTTTTGTTGTGTTTTTCTAGTTTCCTCTATTTTGTATTTATATACTTTTTTTATAATTTTTGTACATATTAAATGCTGTGTTTTTTTACTATGTGCAATGCGTATAATGTATTTTTTGTTTTAATTTATTCGTAAATCATTTTAATTCATTGGGTGTTTTATTAATGTATTTTATTTTTATTGGTGCTAAATAGTCAACTATAAGTACCTATTAGTTTATTATGAAAAGTTTTAAAGAAATTTCAATAAACGGTTCCTTTTTTTCCCTTGGTTGTTTAAATACACTGTTGTTTGTTTTATTTAATGGATTTTTTTGTTGATGAGTTTTTTGTATTCACATTATTTAACTGATTTTCTAAATAATTAGCCTTCTTGACAATTTTCGATTAAAACACCATTCTTTTCTTCCAGTTCTCTTATTATCCTGAGAAGGTAAATCACATCATTTTTTGATGCCTCTTCTGGTTCTTTATCCACATGTTTACATACAGCTTTTTTAAGGGATACGGCCTGGATTAAACATTATGTATGGAAAAACTCAATGCACTTTACACATTTTATGGGATTTACAACTTTTCCTTCGCAATATTTGCATGTTATTTTACTAGTACTCTTTAAGGCTTCTCGCGCTGTCGGCGCCATCTTATGCTAAGTATAGTAATCAAAAGAAATTATATTTACCTATACGTTTACCGCTTTTAAGTGTTAAAAATAAAGAAATGTGTATAGTATCTTAATAACAATGATTGGTTTAAGAATTTAGGAAATTAAATACTGAGTTTAATGAAATATATGGTAAATAATTTTCACACGGGAGATGATAACTGCAATAAATAGTACAATCAGTGGCGGCTGGTGGATTTTGGGTATACCGATATCTCAATTATTAGATATGGGACCCACACCAAATTTATATGAGTTTTTAATGACATTAAATGAACAAGTTCTGTTATTAAGTTCATATATTCCCTTGTGGCTTTGTTTTTCTTATTTAGAAGGTCAATGTTGACGTCTCCAATAAGTATGGTGTTTTTTTTGTTTAAGATATTGGTTTCTAGTACTTTATAGAAGTCATCTTTTTGGCTTGTAGGTTTCCTGTAGACAGCACAGATGTTGATTTTGAGATCATTTAAGGTTATGCTTAGAAAGTTATTTTCATTATTGTGGTTTATGTTGTTGTTTGTGTTGTAGCTTATATGAGAGCTTATGTAGATGCAAACCCCTCCTCCTTTTGTAGTTCTGCATGAGTGGATGCTATTGTAGTTTTTTAAGGTGTAGAAAATTGATTCTTGTTGTGTTAGCCATGTTTCTGTGAGAACTATGATGTCTGGATTGGTTTGTGCAGCTATTAGTTTGATTTCATTTAGCTTTGATTTGAGACTACGTATGTTTAAGTATGTGATTTTCAGATTTAGTTTTCCTTCTGGGATTTTTTCTTGATTTTTGTTAGGGTATCTTCACTATCGACTTCAAGAATTTTGGATTCATCATCTTTACGAATCATAATTTTGTTGTGGTTAAACCAAGCGTATTTGTAGTTTAGCTCTTTTTTAAGATCCCTGACCTTCTTGAAAAGTATTTGGTTTTCTTGAGTCATGTCATGATTTATATATATTATTTATGCTCCTTGTTGCCCAATGTTTTGGCGTGACAGGCCTCTTTTCGTTTTATATGCCAAGAGTAGGTTCTGTTTTACTTCTATTGTTTTAAATTGCACTTTTAATACTGGTTTGCTTATATCCTTGCCTATATTTTGTACTTGTTCTATATCATTTTAAGATATTTTGTTATACATGCACATGTTACATATGTACCTGTTAAAACCCGAAATGGGTTATTTAGGTTTATTTCCTCAATAAAAAAAAAAAAAAAAATTGAAGTTTGCGAAAAAAAGATTAATTTTTGCTCGGCCGTACCGGCCCCATGGCGCCCCAATACATATAATATAAATTTAATTGGTGCAATTTTTTATTTACCATGGTTTACCTTTAAATTTCATTTAAAAAATCCAAATTATACAGATTTAATACCATTTTAAATTTTTATTACTTCTTTGAGCCGACAAAAAAAGCGTGCCGCGAATTCGCTTCTGTTTTTATGTCAAATAGGTACATACATTTATTTAAGATTAAATTAATCAGGTGACATAGAAGATTTACTTGAAGGCGGTGCTCGATTTCGTAATCTCGTGGGCACTGCGTTTTGAAGTAGAATAATAATATTTACTTTTAAACATGATATAAAGATTTTAAGCACAACCACAAGCAAAATTTGTAAGTGCCTAAGGCGCTCAATGGCCTTAAGCCGGCCCTGTTGCAGTTTATAAATGTTTGTTAAATATTAAACAACTTTAAGTTTTATGTACTAAGTACAAGTTTCCAAAAATTAAATTAAATGCAACAGTATTAGATTTCAATATAAACGAGAAAATAAAGCTTCAAAGTTTCTTTTTAAACTTAAAAAATATTTCATCACGCCCAAAACATTTCCAAAATATTACCAACTGTAACCTCCTACCTAGCCTAACCAAACTGTTTCGCATTTTATTGGGCACAATTTGATCGGTTATTGTTGGCCATTGCGATTGCACAAGAAACGGAGAAATATAAAATCGTATCTTGTACATTTATTGGAAAAATATTTCCAAAGGCGAAAGGGTAATTATTGGCCTGATTTTGACCTGATATGGCTCTCTGGGTAAAGGTCAACATAACCATTAAGAAGATTATATTCCCTGCTTAAAATACCCCATAGAGACCTATATAAAATAATCTATCGGGCGTTACCGGATTCAATATGTGCATTTGTCCATGTTTTTTTTCCGGATACGGCCCGATAGAAAATTTATAGGATATTACCTATAGGCACACCATAACTTTTACATTTTCCTTATTGAGACCGATAGCAAATAACTTAATGAAGGATATATAATGATATCCCTATAGAAAAACCATAAAACATTTGACAAAATTTTATTAAAACCTATGGGGTCCCTATGGGGGAAAAACTAATTTCTTCATTTATGTGTATTTTCCCCATTGAAACCAATAGCAAATAAATCAAAGGTGGATATCCCTATAGAACAACCATAAATCCCAACTATGGGTCCTATACATACCGATACACCCTATAGAAACACCATACATTCCGATACAAATATTTATCGGTTTGAACAGGGTCTCTATGGGGTATTTTAAGCAGGGTTCAGGAGCTTCAACTCCATATAAATTCGAGAAGTGGGGGGTCCATAAAAACGTCGCACGTGTATGATGACCTGTAACGCAAAATTGAATTCTGCGCATCTCCCCTCCTATTCTTTTCAGAGATAAATAAGGTATTTTTTTAACCTACATTACACAGAACATTATTTTGTGCATCTGTCAAGCGTCAAACGTGTTAAACCCATGTGGTTAAACCCACAATCCACACAACAAGGTCTGTTCGATCTCGTAGTAAAAATACTAAAAATCACTGCAACACTGCACATCATACGATGGCGGCCATTTTTGTTGTTTACAGTTCTTGTGCTTTGGGTTTGTACAGATTAATAATTGTTTTAAACGCTGTTTCTTACAGAGAGACTTGCAAGCCTTAAAAGAGACCTCAAAGTGGTAAGAACAATCATTTTACTCCTTTTGTAAAAAATAAACCTTATTCTATCAAATGTCAATTTGAAGGTTGTGTCGTACCTAGGCTGATTATGGCCTTAAGTACTCCACCAAGGTTCCTCTCCGGTTGACTCTCCAGATATAGAGGAATACCTACCTCGCACAGTTGCCAATTTTGATCGAAAAACGAACTTTTTTCATAACTTTTTTAAATGTTGACCAATTTATATGAAATTTTGTTTACCTACTTTAAAAAAACTGCAGAATATACTGGTACATATATTTTTTAGCTTACTTATTTCCAACAACCCTTTACAGGGGGTTGCAAATTTAATAATGATCAATTTGTATGAAATTTTGTATACTTACCGAAAAAGGGCCGTAGAATACAGTGGAATATATAAATTTTTTACTTAACCTATTTCCAACCCTTTACAGGGGGTTGCAAATTTAATATTGACCAATTTGTATGAAATTTTGTATACTTACCTAAAAAGAGCCTTAAAATACAGTGGTATATACATTTTTTTACTTAACCTATTTCGAACCCTTTACAGGGGGTCGCAAATTTAATATTGACCAATTTATATGAAATTTTATATACTTACCTAAAAAGAGTCATACAATACAGTGATAATTATGTTTTTTACCTAACTTATTTCCAATAACCCTTTACAAGGGGTTGCAAATTTAATATTGACCAATTTATATGAAATTTTATATACTTACCTAAAAAGAGCCATATAATATAGTGGCAAATATTTGTTTTACCTAACTTATTTCCAACAACCCTATAGAGGGGGTTGCAAATTTACATTAACATGAAATTGACCCATACATACCTGGTGTATTTTAACTAAAAACTAATAAAAAAATTGTATTTATCCATATTTATTTCTAGAATAAAATTTACAATTTTCACCTAAATCTTCGGATCTATTTTCATCTATCTTCATCTGCTTCATCATCTTCAACTTCCTCATCATCCTCATTCTCGTCATCATTCTCTTCATCATTCACTTCATCATTCTCTTCATCATTCTCATCGTCATTCTTATAATCACTCTCGTCATCACTGTCAACATCACTGTCAAAGTCACTGTCAACATCACTGTCATCATCACTGTTATCATCATCATTCTCATCATCATTCTCGTGGATTAATATAAAAGGCCGGATATCAGAACTTAACTTCATTTTTTCCCCCGATGGCCAAACTGCTTAGATATGGATCGGAACTAATTATCAGTCTCTTGATAAGATCTTTATTTACCCTTTTTAAATTTACTTTAGTTGTAAACGCGTCTCTAAATTTTCTAATATCTTTATTTTTTGCTTCTTGTGCTTCCTCGGATAGCTCACCAATTGGCAATATTGCTTCGCCAATTACGGAAGCACCATGTATTAAAATGGTATGTACAGAAGTCGGCATGTGATACCAATTGTACAATTCGACAAATCTTTTGGCCGTTGACAAGCAATATTCTTTGAAATATTCTATATTGATTTGGTAACCAGAATTAATTACTCGCAAAATAATAGCAAATCTTTGGAATAAAAATCATTATTGAGTTAGCTGTGTTTCCATCATTTGTGCTCCCTTGCCCTTGCCTAACACAATCCACTTGAATCCCCATCTTTGATCGAAATTCTACTTGAATTTCCTTTTTTCTCTCAGAAAATTGTATTTTATTGTCTTTGGTTACCTTCCTTACTTTAAGTTCTAAACGATATGCTACAGTTGTATTCATTAAAAAAGCGTACAAGAATTAGAATGAGAGAAAACTGTCAACATTATTGCGTAAAACCGGCTTTCCACTGACTTAAGTCACTATAACTGACAGTAGAAAATAAAAATGCCTCGTCAGTTAAAAAGGCTCAAATAGTATCAAAAATCGAAGAAGAATGGTCAATTCGTACTGTGGTATAATAGAAATAAAAAATCTATATTAAAAATTAAGCAACGCTGGGAACAGGAAGATTTACTAAACCAAAAAGTTGGTTCAGGTCGTCCCAAAATGTCCACCCCTGAACAGGATGCTGCTTTTTTGAGATAATTGAGGATTTATGGGAAACTATACAACTATACTATACCTACTATACTGCTGGGAAGATATTAATCCAAATATTGTATTAAATTTAATTCAGTTCATCCCAAATAGATTGGCTCAAGTAATAGAAAAACAGGGATGCATGACTAAATATTAAAAAATTTTTAATGTTTGTTTTTTTTATTATTAAAAGGTAATAATTTTTGTAATATTATTTAATTAACCTACGACGTCAATGCTCTTTATAACCTATAATAATTATTTTAATGACTTATGTCAGTGATAAGCCGGTTTTAAGCAATAATATTATTTTGACAGTTTTCTCTCATTCTAATTCTTGTACGCTTTTTTATTGAATACAACTGTACATGAAGCAAACATTCAAAAAACCGAATATATGCATGTAGCGTAGACAGTCCATACTTTAAAACATCTTGTTTTTCTGAAAGACTTAGAACAAAATCAATGTCATTCATTTTGGAAATTTTATTTCGCAAATATGGCAAGTCATACTAGACGTTCTTGTTATCGCTCCACAAGCCTAAAAATAATTAGATTTTGATATCATGATATTAAATTATTAACAAACCTTTCCGTTAAGCATTGTTAGATCTAAGTGAAATCTCACTGGACCTAAATCCGACTGATAGGGTATCAGCTCTTCTATTTCCCCGTTGACAGCAGCCTCTTCATCCCTTGTTATTTCGTCAGTTTCCTTCACCCAACGAAATCTTATCGACCGACAATACATTTTTGACGATGGTCTTGGATTTTTCCAAACTACTTCGGAGGTTTTCTCGCAGACTAACCTAAGTGGCACCAATGAAGTAACAAATAGCCTAGTAGGTATATCCCGAACTTCCATCAAACCCCCACTTGCAAATTAAAACTAACGACCGACTTTCTACGGATTCGTTTCCCACACATCGTACGACACT